CCTCTTCCTACTGTTCCTCTTTCACTGCCGAAGATCTGGAGCAAAGGAATCTTTCTTTTGTTGATCAGCTTTGATTTACCCAAACAGTGGGCCTACCTTCTGCTTTGAGCAAGCTAGCAAACAAATGGCTTGGAGCCAAAGAGGGGTCTGCAACAAATAGGACAAACAGAAGATGTGAAGGTTACCCAGTATTTTCTCATGATTAACTTTCTGAGATGAATAATGTTCAGTAATACAGTATCAATCAATGATCTTCCTTGTCCTTAAAATAAAACAACAACAAAAAAAAGAACATGAAGAAACCTAACAGTCACCTCACAGATCCTTAAATATCAGTCCTAAAAATCTGTAACATTACTTCTCATGTTCGTTTGCTCAAACCAAACAGATGCTTACACAGAAGGTCTTTGACTCCAGGCCAGAACTTGGAGGACAGAACACTCTGGTGGGCGTCATTTATTTTCGTCCATCTCTTCAAGATCTTCTCCATGAAAGAGGCACCCCAGCCAGTCCTCCAGCAAAGGCTCTCATCTTCTTCCAGCTCCAGCCCCAACCCTTCCATTCCACTGCCTTTCTTCTTCTCCTCCTGCCTCCCGTGCTCTCACTCTTGCTCTACCTCTCCCATCTACTTCCTCCTAAGCCTCCATGGCTGTCCCACTGTCTTGTGACCACGAGGAAACTGATCCTCAGCCCCCTGCAAGGGCTGTTACATAGAACGACATGTCAAGGACAGACTGATTAACCTGTTCACTAAATCACAGGACAACTCAACTGCAATTTGTTAAAGACTTAATGGCTGTGTTTGGGTGGAGCAACGAGAACACTGCCACAAAGAACACAGCCAAGTGTTCTCTCCTACCTGCGCTGGGGAATTAATCTCCTAACAGTTTGTCTAAAAATGACCCAACCCCTCTCCATCCCACTGAAGCACTGTTTAGAAAAAGATGATGTGCAGAGTAATGTCGTTCCGTCTGCAATCAAGAAAAGTAAAGCAAATGTTTCTTTCTGTATAACTTACTGAAATAAAGCAAGGTGTTTGCAAGGAAACTTTGTTCACATGAAAGCAAGTAACTAAATAATTATTCTTCCAAGGTAAGCAACAAACTTTTATCTCCAAATTGCTGCATCCGTTGCTGTTACTGTCTGTCAGGGATCAGAATTCACCACCAGCTGCAAAGAGGGATGAAACAGAGCTCCAGCAAGCAAAACCCAGCTTCACACAACACAAGCTTCAGGGTCTTGCAGGCCCTCTGGGCCCCACAACAGAGCAGATGAGTCTGTAGGGCATCCATGAAACACTGGTGCTCATCCTGCAGGATCTGAGCCACAGCTGTGTCCTACATGCCTCTCCCTACCCAACCAAAGTTAGTGGCATGCCCATGACTCTGTGTGCCGAAATCTGCACTTTCTGGCCAGTGTCTCTTGCCACTGTCCCCAAGGGTGGACTTGGAGCGGAAGAAAGAGCATTTTTACAGGGAGTGTGAATGCCACAGATCTAAAGCACTGTGAGAGGGGATTGAACCTCTCCAAACTGCTGGATGACCGAAACAGGGCATTTGGTAGGCAAAACAAGGGAACTTATTTCCATGCCATCAGCCCGATGGCTATTCAAAGATACCATCTGGAAGATTTTCATGAGCCACTGAAATGCACAGGCTTTAGAAGAGCAAGAGCCATGCAAACCTCACAGCACCTGCAAAAAAAAGCATCACAGCAAGTGGTTTTCTTCTTACAGTAGTGATCCTGACTCTACTTTGCATGTTCTCAGAAAAAGTCAGCTCCTCCTCTTACAGAATCTGGCAGATCTGCTCAGCTCCAGTGATTTCTTGGAGGTACAGAGGCAAGAATGGGCAGCTCATTCTCATGCAAACTGGCTCTAAATATTGCTTCAACTGGAAGACAACATTTGGGAAAATACAACTGATGATGGGCAACCAGGCTACTGATGCAGCATGAAACCTGGCTCCCACTGGAGTAGGCATGTAAACATCTCCTGATGCGAATATGCAAAGATCAGTTCCTATTCATTGCTGCTTTCCAGCCTCTCTCCTGCTGCATGGCCACAACCGTGTGGCAGCTGTACTTCAGTTCCCATTGAGATTTCCCTTTGGTCCCTGAGCCAAGCCCCCAGCACACAGCGTTTCCACATATCCATGCAGCCACCGCTCTGCTCTCATCCTCCACCGACTCCAGTCAGATGCACGATGTCTTCAGTTCAGTTTCTGTATTCTGAGACTCTTCTGTGTGGACACATGCTCTGGAAGTGAACGGGGTGGTGTGCTCATCACCTCTCTTGGTCCAACAGACTCGGCCTGGTGGTCCTGTCCTGGATATTCACCACAGGCTGCAGGTAGGGGTCCTTTATCACAGAGTGCCATCACGTGCCTGGCTTTGGTGCTCCCATCCCTCCAGCAGAGGAGTCCTTGTGCCAAACAGAACCAACAGAGAACCAAAGCTACCATCCCATAGGAGGGGCAGCTGTGCTTCGTGTGCAGGCTGTGCCACAGCATATTGCCCTTGTTCCATTTGTGTTCAGCTGATCCAATCTTGCTCCAGTGAAGGCACGACTTGCAGCATGTTAAATACAGCTCCACATTCCTGGGACATGGAGGCAGAACAAAACCATTCTTCCTTCTGAGAATGAGAGGCATTCTGATGTTGGAACCAAAGCTATGAGTGTGCAGCACCTGAAGGGGCTGTCGGCATGCTTGGTGCCTGCTTCCCTCTGGTTTGGTGCTGGAGAGGCCCTCCAGGGCACGGGGCTCATAGGGAGCAGGGCTTCCCAGCTTACTCCTGAGGTATTGCAGGGGTGTGGTCTGCAGCACAGGCATCAGGAATGAAGGACGCCTGGAGGACTGGATTTTTTCCGTGGTTGGAAACTGCCTTTGGAGATCCAAGCAGATGGGATTTTGGCTGGGATAATTCTCTGGCACCTACTGCTACTAACAAACTCCAGCACTGAGAGTCCGTGGCACAATGCTCTTGTGCAAGGCATATCCTGCAGCACCTGGTCTCAGAACCAGTGAGCGCCTGCTGTGTATGAAGGCAGTAGGATCTGACGTGAGAAATTCAGACAGAAATACACTGACAGTGCTGATCCTGTCCAAAACTTTGTCCCTGGGACCAAGAGAAAGGACAAACCACAGCTTTCGAATGGCTAACACTCCTGTAGATATCATACATTTTCTATTGCATGATGAATGTTTAGCCAATGCATAAAATTTTCCATGTTTTTTGGTAAACCAGTAGAGGGGAAAAGACTATACAGAAGTATTTGATTCTTTCGCTACAAAAACTTTTGTCCTTGCTCTAGCATGGCTGAATCAGAAGTGAAGATGCTCACGAACAGGAAGAGCACAACGCTACCGCTCCAGCGATGAGCAGGACTTTGATTCATAGGAGATGGAGAGCAGCAGCCTGAGATGCACTGGGTGAATCCCACAGTCCCACTTCCCATTAGAAGTGGAAATCAAAAGAGGTACCAGAGGTACTCCTGCTCCCAGACTGGAGAGCTGGAAGTGCTTTTAAGTAGGCAGATGACAGTGTCAGATTGAGGATAATCAGCAGGGTACCACATTACACGAATGCCACTTCACTCACAGAAGCTGGCTTTGCAGCTTGCCACGTATGATGGGGGAAAGAGAAAGAACAGGAGCCAATATATGCTATTTTGGTATCCAGTTCACTTTGCTTACAGGTTGGGATGTCCCAAAGAAACTGCTTTCTTTGGAAAACCATTTCCATCACCAGCAGGGAGGGCAGAAGCAGTTCCAGCATGCCATCCCACCGCGCACACACCTCTCCTTCCTATCATCTACCAGCGCAGAGTGAAGCACGATCTGACTTTGCCCTCTGGAGGCATAGAATTGGCATGGCGCAGAAAGGCACAGCCCCGGAGGGACTGAGCCACTGAGCTGATCTTTAGACAGTCGGATCAGAGAATTCCTGCCCCGCTGCAGATCTCTGTGGGTTGGAGGGCACTGCAAGGAGCGAGCAGGAGCAAGCAGGACAATCTGCTCCTGGGTTTCTCTGGCGCAGCACTGCCCCAGGGCTCTGCGTACTTCAACAAGAAGGGTATCGGTGCAGGAGGATGACTTTTGGCACAAAGGCTGCAGCATGCAACATCAAATCCTGCGACATGTCTGCATCCAGCTACTGGGCTGCATCTCAGACAGAAAGAGACGCTGCCTAGTTTTTGTTCTGCTAGAAGCTATAGAAATAGACAGGTGGCCTGAGACTCAAGGACCTCTTATTTAAGTAAGAACCAGGGTTTGGGCTTGTTTGGGGCATGCAGACGGATCCTCATGCACAGAAATTTGCCTCTAAGTGGAGAAATGGCATTGCAGTGCTGCTTTTCACCAGGAGAATCTCCCACCTCCCCTTATTCACTTCAACACCCTTTATGCAGTGGTCTGAGAGGCTCTGGAAGTGCTTTTCCACAGCTCCAGGACATCACACTGTCAACATGAGTTTTGGGAGAAGTGATTGTGGGCACCAAGACATGGGCAGCACCAGCTGCACGGCCATGCAGAACAGCTGCATGGATCTCTGAGTCCTGCGCACCCACGCTCTGCGTGTCAGCCAGCCTGCAAACCCTCCCACAGACATCATGCCCTGTGCCCGAGCACACTGCACATCTCTGTGCTTGCACACACACACGCATCCCAATGCAGACCCATGCACCCCCCAAGCCCAGATCAGTGCCCCTGCACACTTGTGTGCCTGTGTGTGCTGTGCCTGTGTACACACACCTGTGAGCACACCCAGACACACCGATTCCTTTCATCCCAGCTTAAGAAGTCCCGCATCCCACTACTCACTGGTCCTGAGCTCCACATGCCAGCAGCGGGCAGCTGTGCTATTCCAGTGCTGGTGCAAGGATACCGACCTAAGTAAGCACTTCTTACCAGCCGGCCGTACTGGTGTCACTCAGCCATGGGTCTAGCCCTAAGATCCCAGCAACAGGCAAGAGGGGGCTGGCAGCTCCCAGCAGCAGCCACGGAGCACCCAGGAGAGCTTCTTTCGGTTTGTAAGGGCAACATCCCGCGGCACCGGGACCAGCGGGCTGTGTGGGGTCACTGCTGGAGACGGCGCTTGCGGTCCGAGCACGTCTGGCTTAGGCAGGCTGCACGTCGCTATCCAAGCCCGCTCGCTCACTGCCCCGCTGGATCCGTCGGTGTTCGTTCTGCGGGAGTTTACTTCGGGGGAGAACGGGGGTGAACTCCAGCACCGCGGGGTCCCGTCGTGTGCCCGCGGGGCTCCGACCCGGCAGCGTGGAGTCGGGGAGGGCGGTGGGGGCTGCGGGGCCGGAGGGGCCCGGAGCGGGGCGATGCTCCTGCCCCTGCCCGAGGCGGCGGCGGCGGCGCGGCACGCCCGGCCCTGCCCGCGCCTCCCGGGATGCGGGGCGTTGCAGGGGGAGTGCCGGCCGCCGGGGTGCGGAGCCGCCGGACACCGCCGCATAAAAGCCGCGGCGGCGGTGCCGCGCTGCGCTCCTCGTCCCGGCCCGCGCCGGGGCCGCCCCGACGGCCTCATGACCGCCGAAAGCCGGCTGCCACCGGGTCCCCCGCCGCCGCTGCCGCCGCTGAAGGCAGACGCGGCGCCGTCCGGGGAGGAGGCGGCGGCGGCGGCGGCGGCGGGGGCGCGGGGCGGGAGGCGGCGGCGCAAGCGTCCGGCGGAGCGGGGCAAGCCGCCTTACAGCTACATCGCGCTCATCGCCATGGCCATCGGGCAGGCGCCCGAGCGGCGGCTCACGCTGGGCGGCATCTACCGCTTCATCACCGAGCGCTTCCCCTTCTACCGCGACAGTCCGCGCAAGTGGCAGAACAGCATCCGCCACAACCTCACCCTCAACGACTGCTTCGTCAAAGTGCCGCGGGAGCCCGGCCGCCCCGGCAAGGGCAACTACTGGACGCTCGACCCGCACGCCCGAGACATGTTCGAGAGCGGCAGCTTCCTTCGCCGCAGGAAGCGCTTCAAGCGCAGCGACCTCTCCACCTACCCGGCCTTCCTCGCCGAGCGTCCCGCCGCGCCGTGCCGCCTGTTCCCGCAGCCCGCCGAGCTGGCCCCGGCCCCCGCCGCCCCGTCCTGCGCCTTCGCCGCCGCCTGCCCCGCGCAGGGCTGCTCCGGCGCCGCTTTGCCCCACGGCTACGGCCCGCTGCCCGCCGCCCCCGGGCCCTACGCGCCGCCCGGAGCGGGGCCTCTGTACGCGCCCCCGGGGCGCTACGTGCTGCCCGCCTCGCCGCCCGCTCCCGCCGGGCTGTACGGCCGCCGCTCGCCCGCGCCCTACGCGCCGCTACCCCACGCCTACGGTGCCGGAGGGCAGGTGGGCGCCGCCGACCCCGGGCTCCGGCACAGCGCCTTCCCCGGCGGCCCCGACAGGTTCGTCCCCGCGCTCTGACCCGCGGCCCTGCCCGACGGCGCGCACCGGGCGGAGGCGGAGGACGCCGCGCCCGAAGCCGCGGGGGCCCGGAGGGACCCGCCGTCGCCGGGCTGGGTGAAGGAGCGCCGGGGTGCCGCCCGCTTTCCGGGGACAGGTGCGCAGAGCTCCCCGCTGCCCTCCCCTCTCCCTCCCGGTGTGATGCCTGGGACTTTCGGAAGATGCCACTGTGAAAAGAACGTCGCTGTTCGTGACTTCGTTCGCCGGGCTCGGGCAGGAGGGAGGAAGGAGGATGCCCTCCCCGGTCCCGTCGAGCCTGAGCCGTGCAAGTGTGCGTGGTGCTGACGGTGGTGCGTCCCTGATGTCACACTGCTGCCGCATCGGTGCTGTGTCCCACACTGGCGACACAGACAGGACTGGCAAAGATTCGGGGATGCACCCCGTGGCACGATGTGTGTTGCAGGAAGCGGGGAGGACTCTGGGACCCAAAGGGAGAAGTTCTGCTGTCAGCCCCTAGAAGTGAGAGACAGCTAGTGAGGCTGTGGGGTCTCTGCCCTCAGAGATCTTCCCGACTTGATTGGACAAAGCCCAGGGATTCTCATCTGGCTTTAGAGTGAGATCCAGCACTGAATTTGGACCATGGTGGCTTGGGCCACAGATCTGCAGGGGGGGTTCTTCCATCCTCAATTACTCAAATCCTAGAGTCAGCCCAACTCTGCCCATAGCCTAGAGAGGGCAGCATCTCTTTCAGAAGCGAGAGGCAGGGATGATGTCTTCCGATCTTTGGTTGCACATCTTCTGTTTCAAGCTCTCCAAAGGATGGGGAAAAAAAAAAAAGTCAGAAGAAAATATGGAAAGGGGCTTTAAATCTATCCATGAAAGGGAAAAGCTTTACAATAGATCCATGGAGAAACCCACGCAGATCGGTCCAGATAGATCCCAGTGCCTCTGGAAGGGGACTGGGAAGCCCAGAAATGAGCAGGTCTCACTCAGGGGCTGTGAGCAGGGGGAAGGAGACGTAGCTCTGCTACTGCAAGGATCCCATACTGCTTTGTCCTGTGGAGGTGGGAGGCTGTGTGAGTGGGGAGAAGACGACTGGTGTGTGTGGGTACAAATCGGTGGAGTTCTGAGCAGGGATAGTTCAGTGGCAAGCATAGCAGGAGCCTCAGCAGGAGTGCTGGGAGAGGAGGGGGTGAACATCAGTCTCTCAGCATAGATGCAGACCACAGTGTGACTGAGGCGGAGACTGGAAGTTGGGAAGTTCCAGCCTCATGCTCAAAGCAGTCAGCCAGGAGTGAGACCAGGTTCCCGGGGCTCTCCTTTGAAGCCCAGACAATGTCTGAGACTGGAGACAGAAGAGTGGGCAACTTGACTGTGCTCTGGGGGAGTTTCTTCTGTACATTCGGCACCTCTCTAGTCTCGCTTCGTGCCTCTGGTCCTGCTGCTGCACACTGCTGCAAAGAGCTCACAACCCCTGAGGACAGCTGAGCCTTCGCTCTGTGAAGGACTTTTCAGGTGAGGAGTGAAATTTGGGTAGAGTTCTTGCCTTCACTGGGTGCCAAAGCCCACGTATCCAGGTGCGACACGAGAGGGAGAAAACAGAGTATGAGGGTGGAAGGGTGTCCGCAGAGCTCGGTGCAGGCTCTCTGCAACAAGCAGGGAGGAGAAGCTGTGGGGCAGCCCTCTGTGAAGACAGAAGGCAAGCACTGAACTTGGGGCATGCTTCCCTCAGAACGTGAGTGGATGAGCCACCTGTGGTCTGGCCCAGAGCTGCTGTCATGGCCTGGGCGCTCTGTGAGCCTGCTTGTGCCCGCCTGCACCTTTGTTCCTGAGGAGCAGCACTGTCTCTTTCCTTCTCAGTCCCAGGGGCTGCTGCAGCTTCCAGTGCTGCTCCCAGCCAACCCCCTCTCAAGTGCAGGAGGAGCCTGCGGGCCACCAAAGGCCGAGTGCTGCTTGGAGGGTCGCGGTGCTTGAGCCTGCAGGCTGTGAGCTGGGTCCCCTCACTCACCAGATTGTGTTTCATGGGCTTTGTTCAAGCAGGGCAGAGCCTTGCTTCCGAGGCTCTTGCTATGCCTTGGCCCTTGGTTGCCTGTTCTGCCTGCAGACGGTGGCTGTGCACGCGTGTGAGTGCTGAGGTGCGGTGCAGACATGCCTGCGTGCACTGCTGAGCACAACCCGCTGTGACTGCATGTCTGCATGCGCACATGGCTGCGTCTTCTGTACAAGGTGCCTTTCTAGCATCCGTGCTGAGCAGGGTCAGAAGTTTCTGGGCTTGCCAGTCCTCAGCCACCTCACCCAGGCCTAACTGGAGGCACAGGGACATTTTTGTTAGTGTGGGTTTTTTTCTTCTGTTTTATTTTTGGTGGGAAACTGCCTCCTCAACCTTCCTCTGGCAGCATCTGCCTGCAGTTGCCTTGACTGGCTGCTGCTTTTCCTCTTGCCAGGGGATGAGGACTGCACCTGAGAGCATTTTGCCTTGTGTAAGCTCCTCCTGACCTCAGATAGCATCTAGCACAGGCTCAGGAGCAAAACTCGGTGTCTAGAGGACATGCACAATAGGCATTTGTGACTCACGAGGTACAAATTGGGTAAGTTCAGCCGTGCACTGTTGGCTGATAAGATCTACGTGCTTGTTCTTTTTTCTCTCCAAATCATTTCTGCCCACGAACGAGGGAATCCAGACAGCTGGGAAGCATGCTTCCTGCAGTGAATGCGGTTGACAATGCACACACAAGCTGGGCAGGATCTGTGCTCAGCAAGGAGCTGCACGGCCCCTGCATGGAACTCTGCACGGGGGCTACGAGCAAATGGGGATATGCCACATGTGTGGGGAAATGGGGATACGTCACATCGGACCGTGGGATGTCAACGCATGTTTATCTGACGCTTTGCTTGTAATTCTCAGAATTAGGAAACTTTTGATTTCTGGAAGCTCAGCTGTAAATATTGCAGGGCTTCTCTTGCAGCAAAGTTAGGCTAAGATTCAAAGTAGCCTTTGATCTTTGGGAGATGAATGCAGCAGGTTGCATGGGCACTTGCAGAAGGATGGAGCAGTGCAGCACCTGCTCCACGTGGGGTCTGGGGCAGGCACACCTCGCCCGGCCTTCAGGAAAGCTGTTGATAAGCATAGGGGAAAGATTTAAGTATGTATTAGGGATATTTGTTTGTATTTACTCTTCTACTTCACTAGTAATGGAAATAAATCTTTGTGCTTTTGTTTGTAACAAAGTGTTTCTGAGCACTTCAAGCCTCTTTTGCATTTCTGGGTCCAGCAGAACTGTGGCACACAGGAAGATAGGTGCTGTGTGCTGCTCCTTGCATTCCACTCTCCTTTTTCTTGCTGAAGGCACTGGGAGGAGGGAGGAGAGGTGTCTCCAATTGTTGGTATAACAGCAGCATCTGCTCATTGTCCAAATGGATGCTGAAAAGCAGCAGTAATGCAGCTGAGATGGCCATACACACAAAAAAGCTCAGTGTCTAATCCTGCTTTTTGGCTAAGTACACCCTATCTGTGCCCTGAAATTGGTGGCTGTGCACTGTGCATGTGTGTGTGGCATGGGAGGAGGGGTGGGGGCTTATAGCACGTTGCCACCATCCTGGTACCATCAATAGGCAAATGGCAGTGTGCCTGGTGAGGCTTCCTCTGTGTCATCAGCAGGCTCATGGTGTTGATGGTGATGATTTCTTCCTTCTCTGCTTCAAGATCTATTTCTGTATGTTGTCTTAACATGATCTGCCTATATAATGAGTTTCAGTGCTTCCCGATTTGTTTTTGTTTCTTTATGGGTTTTGTCTTTTCCTTTCCCTTCCCTGTCCCATTTTCTTTTCCCTTTTCCCTTTTCCCTGTTCCTTTTTCCCTTTCCCATTTCCCTTTCCATTTCCCTTTTCCCCTTTTCCCTTTTTACCCCTCCCCTTTTCCCATCCCCATCCCCTCCTTTCCCATCCTCTTGTCCGTTCCCCATCCCCCTTTCACTTCCCCTTCCCTTTCACCTTCTCCTTCCCCTTCCCCGTTTCCATGACCAGCTCAGACCCTTGCTGCTACCCTGGAGTCACAGATAGCTCAAGCTGTACAGAGTAGGTACTCATTATCAGTATAAATAAAAACAAATGTAGAAATGTAGAAGTTATCTGACCACGGATGGGTGCTGCAGCCCATCTGCATCTAAGACCAGGACCCCTCTGCCACCACAGCCAAGAGGCCCCAGTGGACTGAGTGAGGACTGTCTGTTGGGATGTGCATTGAGGGTTGGTTCCTGCTGTGCCTCTGGGTTCTACCTCTCGTTTCTTTCTCTAAGTGGACCTCAGTCAGTGCAAGTTTGAGTCAGTGGTGCAGGAGGAATTGAATTAAGCACTCGAGCAGAATTGCATTTTAGCAAGTGTAGCACCCGAGATCGATTGAGATGATTATCCTAACATCAAAAAGTAACTGAAAGAGCTCCAAGCCCTGGCCTTTTGTGCCCAGTACCTGAGGATGCTCTGCAGCGGATGCAGCTTAGCGGAGAAAAACAAAAGCGGTCTGGGTGGTCCCAAGAGAACTCGCCATCTCTTCCGGACGTCCATCGCGTGGCTCGGTGTGAGCACCGCCCGGACCGCGGCATGGGGAGAAACTGCTGTGCTGGCGGCAGCTGCAGCGTCCGTGCCGACCCGGCGCCGAACCGCTCCTCCGAGCGCCGCGCCGCCGCTAGGGGGCGCCACAGCCCGCGGAGAACGGGAGGCGAAGCGGGACTGCAGCCCGAAGGGGCTGACAGAGGGCGCGTCGGGGGCTTCTCGGAGCTGTGCCGCGATGGGACAAGATGTGACGGGGAAATTTCCTTGCCGAGCGTACGGAGAAGCCCTCCCATGAGGCTGCTGCAGCCCTGCGGCTGGGACTGAAAAGCTGGGACAGTCTCCAGTCGTGGAGACTCGCCGAGCGGGTTGGCCAGAGTTAGCCGAGCTCAGAGCATCGGACTCACCATCTCCAGTGGTCTCTCCCCACTTCAGTCTCCTATGATTATGTGGTTTCCTGGTGTCACGGAAGAGCTAGTACGGCCAGTAGTCAGTGCTGGGCCCACAGAGCACAGAACTGCAGTCCTTGGCAGCCCCAGCATTATTAGAGGTGTATTTGTTTAAATGGAGGGATCAGGGCTAACATTTTCTCCGTAAGAAGTGGTGACCAAGGAGGGAGTGAGTGTTTGCAGTTACTAGTACTTATTACTTAAAGTCAATATTGGTAAATCAACAAGAAAATATTTCTTACTCAGCAAGATCCAGGAAGGTGCAATGGCTTTTCGATGCCTCTGCTGGCCGCCTGCTTTCTGCTTTGACTTTACTTCTGCTAACCAACAAAAAGCCCTCCTCGCTCAAAGCATCACCCGTGAGCAGCAGCCTGCTGCAGAACTCCCCCAGCTGTCTGCAAATGCAGGGTGCCTCATTTCTGAAGAGCAATTCGACAAGCGCAAGCAAAGTGGTGAGCCATGGTGGAACAAACCAAACATCTCCCATGCTGCTGGAAGCTCTGTCTGCTCTGAGTGTAGTTTTGGCTCCGTGGGGCCAAAGCGGGGATTTGGAAGGTTGGGGGGCCACCTGTGGCTCGTGATCCTGCAGGGAACTCGTGGCAAGGTCACAGCCCCCCGCATGGCTGTGGGCCACTGGGGGGATCAGTGTGGCTGTGCTTTCTGCAGTGACAGAAGAGGATCTGCTCGGAGGTATTCTCTGCAATCCTGGGGTATTTTCCAGATGTTTAATCGCTTGCACCTTTAAGAGACCATGAGAAAGAGACTAAGGAGCGATGTGCCAGACAGCAAACTGTTTTCATTACACTGTGGTCTGTGCTGTGATCATGTGAAGTCCAGACTACAGCTGTGCCTTCAGTGCCATCATTCACTGTAGCCATCAGCTATGGAAATAACTATACGGCAGGCAGAGGAGTTTTATGGAGCTTGACCGACCCGATCTCCCTCAGTGCCCAGGTGAAGGACATGATGTGGTCTCATCAGCAAAGCCTTGGACGCTGTCTCCCACAGCACTCTGCTGGGGAAGCTGTCAGCCTGTGGCTAGGACAGGAGCACTGGGCTGGGTAGAATGGCTGGAGGGCTGGACCCAGAGAGGGTGGTGAGTGGAGTTACATCCAGCGTCCTGTCAGCAGTGGTGTTCCCCAGGGCACGGAGCTGGGGCCTGCCCTGCTCAATGTCTGTAGTGATAACCTTGACGGGGACGTGGAGTGCACTCTCAGTAAGTTTGCAGACATCAAGGAAGTATTGATCTGTCTGGGGCAGCAAGGCCCTGCAGAGGGATGTGGATAGGCTGATTGCCGGGCTCAACCAGAGATAACCAGAGATAAACACCATTAGGTTTATGGTCATGACTTATGACCAAAATCTGTAGCAAAACTTTCTTCCTCCCTAGTAGGTAGCAAAGTCTTCCTTTTCCATCCCATACATCCAGGCCATAGCTAACTGTAAACTGTAAAAAAAGATCTTGCATCGTCAGTGCCAGGCAGACCCCACCAGATGAGATACTGCCTGAGATCAGCCCTCAAGAAATGTTTGTCTCCACCCCAGAGCAAACTTTGCTCCTGCGAAACCAGCTCAGGAGTTTGCTGTCCGGATTCACTGTTTTCTTTCCTATTGCTTGCAACAGTCAGTGGAAGGAGGGCGTCTCCTCCTCTGAGTACATCTGGTACAGGTCCTTCTCCAATGCCACAAGGGATTTGTGAGGGAGGAAACTATAAATAAGAACGCAGGAACACAAACAAATGATAAAAGTGGCAGAAAGACCAAACTGGGCTTTGCAGCTGGTGAGATTTTGAACCAGGGTAGAGAAAATCAGTGGGACCCCGCAGACCCATGGGGATGGGCAGGGGAAGCGCAGCAGGAGGAAAAAGCTCGGGGTGCTGGCAGAGGATCCATCTGGGAGGTGCCCATGGACCACAGTGGCCAGCTTTGCTCCTGAGCCCATGGGAATTCTGCACAAGCAGGGAGCTCTATTACCTGTCCTCATGTGAGAGGAAAAAAAGGTGTGTTGTGCAAGTGAAAGTGCTGATAAAGAGCGCTCTATCTTTGGGTTGTTATGCAATAAAATTTACTACCTGCAGAAAAGCCTTTCTCACAGGCTGCCAAAGGAGCCAGCTGGAGTGAGAGCTCTGGTGTGGGCGCACAGTCACTGAGGTGACTCCAGCACCCCGAGGCAACCAAGGTCAAATGACTAGGGGATGGGGCTACTTTCTATGGGCTATCTTGCTTCCTGCAAGCTCCCCTGTGCTCATAGAAACCCTGCCAAGCTTTCACCACTTCCCATGGCTCAGCTTCAACAGCACAGGGACAGGACACACATGTTTGCTTTGTGTGCTCTTGTCAGAGGGGTGCAGTGATTTGAATGTGAAACTTCCTAGAAGCTGCTTCTCCCCAGCAACTAAAAAGTGGTGGGAAGTGGGTGAGCATAAGCCTCTGGGGATGTGGAGGTGGATGTCAGGGTAGATTTACTTCCCTGGGAGTTCTGAGAAGGGTTGGGGAGATGGAGACAGCTGCCAGCCATTGCTTGCCACGGTATGGGGCTCTGCAGACAGGAGTGTCTCCAGGACATACAGCGCAGCTTCCTTGCAACGTAGTGTGGATGCAATACTTGCAAGAGTACTCTGGCACAGCTCCTGTGACAGTACTCATCTGTGAGTTTCTCATTTGGCACCCAGGGGATGTTTTGTTGCTGATGGTGCTGTAACTGCAGAGGGTCTCAGAGGAAGGAGAGAAGGCTGCAGGCTGTGCTCATGAGCACTGATTATCTCTCATGCAAAGCTCAGGGACCAAAGGGGGGATGGGTGTCAGTGATGTAAATGCTGGTGAGATGTCACATCCACTGAGATGCACAGCACAGCATCACGGATGTCTCTGGATGTCTTTGGAGTGATCTCACTGGTTATTCTCCTACTGGAAGCCCAAAATGAAGAGTGACCTCAGTAGTGGGCCAGCCCTGTGCTCTTGGGAGACAGCTCTCTGACAGTGGTCAGATGGTGGCCATGAAGACATTGCAAACCCCAAAATGTGTGAAGAAAGAGATGAAACCCTCATTCTTCCCAAATTTCACACACACAAAAATGTGAATGCGCTGCGTAGGCTCCTACTTCTTTAAAGTCTTGGCCTGAAAGCTGGCTGTGGAGAGGGGAGAACGGCACCTGTCCAGAGTGGCCTCATGTTTTTGCCCCAGATTGAATTTTCCTGACTAAAGCGTGCAGTTCAGCTGTCTTTCAGCCTGCTACGTTCAACTGTTTTCAGCCAGCCTCCATCTGCCCAACGCAGCTCAGCAAGGTCAGAGTGAAGTTGCTGGCAAGACAAAAACAACAGACTTCCCAGACTTGAGGAGAGCAAGCTGATAACTGGGAAAGGAAGGCAGATTATGAGAAAGGCCTTCAGGCTGCAGATAACAGCATGAGGGACTGTAGGCTTCATGTTGTGCTGAAAAAAGCCCAATCCGCTGCACGCCTGCCCTCTGAAAGATGGGGTTCAGCTTTGTGAAGGGGCTGATGTTCTGCTGAACACACTGGGGGAACGTTTTGGGAGTGAGGATGGGCATGGGGCTCACGGGCTCACAGCTCCCGTGGGGCTGAAGGAGCAGCATCCTTCCCCCTCCCCCCACAAACGGCCTGGAAGCAACACAGGAAGCATGGTGGAGAGAGAGTCAGATTTTTATTGTTCCTGAGGAAGGAGCAACTTTAAGTCTCTCCGCAAGGGTTTTCAGTATTTCTTAGTCATAAAAACTGGAAGAATATATATATATATATTTAAATAAAACTTCAAAATAGGCTTGATGAATACATGTCATTATCTGATTCGTTCCTTTCCAGCGAAGTATTCAGTACCTCTTGTATTTCATCTGCCAGCTTCAGCATATCCTCTTCACCTACAAAGGACACCAGAGAGGTCATTGCTGCCGGGGGCTCTGTTAGCTGGGCCATGGGGTGCATGTGATGAGAAGCACCTGCTGCTGGCCCGCATGACTTCCAGAGGACATGCTGGTCCCTTAGGTTGTGGGGCTTAATGGGTTTAATGGCAGAAGGCAAATAAGTCCAGCCCTTGTTCTTGCCATTTCAGAGTCTCAGGACTGGGGGCTGGACCTGGTGTAGGATGGTGGTGGCACAAGAGCATCAGAAGCCCCGTGCTGTGCTGTAAGGACTCTTGTTGCCACCAGCCCCAGCAGGGCAGGTCTCCTGCATGCACTGTGTCTCCGGCTGCCCTTCCCCTCCCCATCACCCTGGGACCAGTGTGATGGTCCCTGACCTGCTCTGGAGTTTGCCCCCTCTTTTCAGAGCACCTGTGCCCTGGACTGGCTCTTGGCAGGGGGGCAGGGAGCACGGTGACCCACGACTGTGGGCAATTAACCCATGTCCTGCTGCCCAGCTGTGGCCCTCTGGTCACTTTCTTTAGTTTCAGACGGAAGAGGACCCGAGGCAGACACTTGTCTGTGAACCAACTTTTGCTGTTCTATGCAGTGTTTCTCATGCTGATCTGTTCTCCCCGGGGAAGTGCATCAGGACACAGCTACCTCTTCCCTGTGCAGAAAAGGCTGCAAAAAAATCTTTAGGACAAGGAGCTCTAAAAAGGACCAGCGGCCACAGACCAGCATGCCAATGACTCTACTCACAGCAGCTGGCTTTCTACTCCTCCCCATGATTCAGAGAGAGGGATCTGTCCCTGCAGCCCCAACCTGCAGCCCTCAGGATCCCATGGGGATGGTAGCTTTCCAGTACTCACCCAGGGGACTCTGGCTCCCCGAGGCCAGTATCCCTTCCAGATCTGCCAGCTGCACACCAGCAAACAGGTCCTGCATGTCCATCTGGGAAGACTCGGCCTGCTGCATCGCCGTGGAGGACACCATCTCAGCTTCCTCCTTCTTTGGGGGCTGAGGGTTTGGCTGTGGTTTTGGCTGTGGTGCGGGCGCCATGACATGCGCACGGCCCTTTCCTCGCCTGGCACCGTGGCTTCTCCTCTGCCGTTTGCTTCTCTCGTGCTCCCTGCAGGAGGATTTCATGTAGCAAAGGGTTAGGTGTCAAGAGCAGCGTGGTCCCTCCTTGCCTGGCATGTGCCCTCTTGCCGAGAGAGCTGTGCCAGCACTCAGGCTGCAAGTGGCACCCAGTTGACCCCTGCAGAAACTGGAATTCTCTGCATGGGTGGCCAGGCAAGGACGCGGGAGTCTGGCTGCCAATTTTCTCCTACCACCAACCCATCCCTTACGAAAGCCCCACACGCTCTCTCCTCAAGCACCAGAGCAGCCCTTCAGCAGATAGAGGCCGAGGGCCGCCTGTGCCAGTGAGGACCTCTCCTCACAGGGGGCACGGGGCACCCCGTCATCATGCGGTGCCTGTGCCTGGTCTCCAGCCACGTGCGCAGAGAAAGGATCACACGGCGTAAGAAAGCTTTACCCCAGAGCCCACTGAATTGAATCCTTCTCCTCGGCTTCTGCCTTTCTCTTCCGGAGCAGCTCCCGGTCTCTCAAGCGGCGCAACATGGTGGAACCTAAAGGACAAACCGAGTGCTAACACCACCTCTTGACCACGGGACTGTAGCCCTCCCTCCTCGTCTGCTGATAGGGCGCTGATGAAAGCGGTCTGAGCCTTTTTATCATGAAGCAGGTCTTTATACAATAGTAAGTAAGGCACTGTACTTACTAAGCAGCATCGGCAGGGAGGATCTGATGGCGTGCCGCACAAATCTGTGCTGTAAATTCTTAGGAATTCCGAGCTGCAGTTTTCCTCCTGCCACTGCAGCCTTTGGGTGACTCGTGTCCAAATGACACACCACAGGGGCCAACTGAAAGCGCAGGACGTGGGCTGTCCTCTGGGGACACCCTGCAATCACTCAGGGTCACGCATCATTCATTAGTGGCTGCAAAATACTTCCGTGAGTTTGCTCCATTAATGCACTTTTCCCCAGGTAGCTGCGCTTGCTTAGTGCTGTTTATCCAGACGGGCAGAAAGATGGATCAACAGTGCCTTTCCTGTGCCTACTCAGCTGATCCCACCTTGAGGGGCTGAGAAATCTGCATGCATTTCCTTACCCTTTGCTGGTATTCACATGAATAATGCCCGCAGTTCTCAACCCTCCATTTTTTTTCTTTGGGCTGCAGCCTGTGGAGTCTTTATTAGGATCTGTCTTAGATCAAATAGCATGAGACCATTCCCTTTGGGGAATGCAGGGGCATATTTCTGTGCCCCTATGCTGGTAGAAGTACTGGTGGGAGTAGCACTTGCCTGGAGCACGGAGGGAGCTTCCCACACATGCACTGAGGAATTCACACGAGCACTAGTTTTCACAGTTTCAACAACTGCCAAATGGGTAAAAGGCAGCCAAACAGACCTGCTCCCTGCGGATGCAATCAGATCCAGCTTCTGCTATGAAAAGTCTCAGCTCATGTTGAAGTGTTAAGTCCAATGAGTGAAGAGTGGTCATTTTGGCATTCTCTTATCCAGCTGGGAGAGCTGGCAAGGTGAGAAGGACTTTTGAGGCTAACCGGGCACTGCAGCTCCTGCACCCCAGGTGTCTGAGTTAAACATGGGAAAAGCCACAGTCTGGGACAGATTTAAAGACAAAGCAAAGCAAAACAAAACAAAACAAAAAAACCCCTAAGAGTAGTGGCCAACCAACCCCTAGTCAAATTAGATCTGTTCTTCTGATAATAATAATCATGAGAAGTTTTGCTTGGAATGAATCCCTGTAGGTCTCTGTCCCAGTGTTCTCCTGGCAGCAGGGCCAGTATTACCTCAAGTTAATCAGGACCTTGTCCAGGAAAGTGGGGAAAGATCTCACAGCACACCTCTGATCTCTGTGCCCTTTCCACTACAGTCGTTTTTTCCTTTCTATCCAGCTGGCATCTCCTGTCCCTCCCTGTGCCACTGTCGTTTCCATGCCTCCTGCTAGGCAGGTGCCTACCCTCTCGGCTCTGTTTCCTCAGCTTTGGTGGCTCTGTGTGGCACTTTGTTTAAATCTGGGCACGGTGATCCCAATACTATCTAACAATGACAAGAGCCACGCCACCAAACGACCACGAAACCAAGAGCAGCCCTACTTTCTGGTGTCGTCTGTCATTTCTCCTGCTCTTTTACTGATGCTTTTTGCATACTCGTTCCAGGAGCCCCCAGTGGAGACATGCAGAAGAAGGCAGATCCCCTCCCTGAAACCTTTCATCCTACCTGGACCCCAGAGAAGAGAAGCACGGATGCAAAAGGCACTGCACAGGCAGTGTGAGGATTTCTCAGCAGTGGCACGGCCAGAGATGGAATTAGTGACAGGCAGGCTCTGAGACAGAACCGCACAAGGTCCGTACAGCCTGCAGCTGTGCTGGGCAGAGTGTGCACGGCTTGGGTGTGAAGCAGCATCAGGACAGGAGGGCTCTGCCAGCAGCAGAGACCACCAGAGGCAGCCTGGGGAAATGGAGCTCCAAGCAGCAGCCGTGGGATCTGCATGCACGCCGCTGCAGGCTGACTGCCGAAGTGCACATCCCTCACGTGTCCCTCTGTGGCAGCCGAGCTAACTTTCTTTCACTTTCAAAATACCTCCTGAGCCATAAAAGCACTTCTCGCTGCATGCAATCTGTCTCCTCCCCAATCCATCCTAAGCAAATTGCTCTGTGCAGCCAGAAAACATCCCTCATTCATTTCTATCCGGACCAACAGAGCGCTCCGGGGCTGCTCCAAAGCTGTGCTGCCTGTTGCAGTCAGCAGGAGGAATCTCTCTGAGACACCTGCATCCAGTGAGAGATTACATAGCAGAGAGCACAAGCATACAGAAATGAAATGAAATGAAAAATCCCTCCAACTAAAAGTACACTGAGAGCCTTTTGTCAGTCTGCAAAGCGACAGTGCATTGGAACTGCCCGAGAAACTGAGTGGAGAGATCTTTATAGGTGCCTCTGTGATCTGAAACACGGCTTGGAAAAAGCCGCATGCATTTACTATCAAACGTGCATCCCCCATCCCCTAACCACACGCTGGTAACCCCTTTCCTAGAAAGCATTAGTGACAAAAAGGACCGTTCTTCTTCCTTCCAATAAAAGTTAGAAGCGCAGCGTTACCTGGCTCAGCGTTCTCCTCGTGGGCTGTGGAGGAAGGCAGAGAAGTGTTGGAATAATCGTGGTCTCTCCCTAAGCTGTCCATCGCTCTTTGCAGTTTCAAATAAGAAGCGGCTGATTTCCTTGGGAATGTAATCTGTTACTGGTGCAGCAGAATGAGAGCTTGAAAGAAGCGCAGACTGTCCTCCACAAACAACTTATCTGACTAGGCCACCAGCGGGGTAATAATATGCTCCTTATCACAGTTTAAAGGTGTATGAGTGTCTGCCCTCCAGTCCACCTACTGTGTGGACTGCAAAACATGCTGATGTTTCTGTACAACAGTTCCGCTTCAGATAGGAAACCCGTGCTCGCTGCTGCCAAACTGTGGCTCAGATGCCCTTCTTTAGAGCGGAGAGGAGCTGCGTGGCCCAGCCGGATGCTGCATGGCCTCGCTGTCGTTTCCAGAATGAGATGCATGGAGGAGTCATTAGGCACCCAAGACCTGTTCTGGGATCTAGAATGGGATGCAAGCTGTCAGAAAGGTGTTTGCACAGGTCTGTCGCAGTGCTCGTGGGAAGGGACCTCCACCCCTCACAGCAGGCTGCTTGCAGCTCGAGATCATGGCACATTTAGGAGACCCCCAGGGACAGAAGTAGCCAAATCCAGTCAATTCCAAGTGGCTGAAGCAACGGTAGAAGAACTCTACAATGCGTCTACTCCCAAGCTCTCTGGGAATTGCTCACCTGACAAGGCATGGGTGAACTCAACTGACTTGCCCTGTAGCAGAACAGCTCCTGGGGGTGCCCATAGCCTTTGCTCTCAGCAATCTTTCTGTAGGTCCCTGACGACTTCAGGCCAAGTTACAAATTTCATGCCTGGGGGGTCTCCTGGGGCGACGTGGGGATCTCTGCTGCCTTCCTGCTTGTCCCCCCGGTTACCACTTCCCCTTGGGGCTTCTCCCCTCTGTCCTTTGCAGATTATGTGGTACCTCTGAAGAGGTGGGGCAAGTTTAAAAGGCCCAAAAGAACCAGCAGGGTGTTGGCAGCACAGCAGATATGGGAAGGCTCTGATATGCGAGGGCTGGCGAGGAGTGTGAGTGGCATCCTGAGATGGGGTGCTTCTGAGTCACTTGTGTGAGTTTCTTGTATCTCAGTCAAAAGTGAAGGCCAGGTGTGCTCTGCTGGTGAGGCTGTGTGATGCTGCTCAACCCCAAGTCACCCTGCCTTGTGCATCCTGAAATTAACGTGTGTGGGGGAGAGGAAAACACACGCCTGGTCACTGTGGACATCACGTCTGGAAGTGCTTGGAAAGAACTGTTCTGGGATCTCTGGGCTGTTGGCAGCTGATATGAAATGTGGGAGAAAGGATGGGCACCTCTGGGTGTTGCAGGGTGCTGAGAGCTCCAGCTGCATGCAGAACAACCAGAGCAAGCTGCCCAGGGCACGCTATGGGTTGACACCCACGCAGGGATGCTCTTGGCTGCAGAGGCACAGGGGTCTGCCAGCCTTAATGCTGCAGCTCTGACTGCCTGGGCTGTACAAAACTCAGCTTTTCACCCCCATGTCTCCTGGGGAGGAGAAGCAGAAGCACTCAGGCACTCCAGAGCCTGCTGAGGTCTGATAAATCTCTCTTGACTCAGCAAAAAATTGCCCTTTTTTGGACACACTGTTCCACCCATTTTCCAGTTAAGAATGCAATGAATTTATAAATATTGTTCATAAGTGAAAGAGCTGCTGTGCTCTCAGGGTCTGTAAGAGGTACTTAATAGGATAAATGGGGTTTAACATCTTACTGAGCCTGTGCTTGCATCTCTCAGGACCTAGATCCCTGTGAAGGTTTTGTTCTTGTGCATGAATTGCTGCAAATCCCAAGCAAGTGAACTTGTGATCCTGTGGGAAGGTTTGGCGGTGGATAACAGTGTGGAAATTACAGACCCAGTCTTGAGCTATCTCTGCTTGGGAGTGAGAGTGGCACAGCAGAGGCCATTTCAGAGCCTGTAGTGCCCTCCTGTCCCCTGCCAGCGCCTCAGCACAGAACTCTGCAGCAGATGTAGCCCAAGGTTTGTCCTTTCTGCTGCAGGTTGAATTTTCTGGTCAGTTTCAGATGAGTGAACCAGTGCAGCTGGATGCATCAAGCATGCCAGGCACTGCTTCCCCACATTCCTATCTTGTTTCCTTTGGCCCTGGGCTGCCTTCACCCACACACAACTTCCTTAATGGGATCTGAAGGAGACTTACTAGAGTGCATTGTGAGCCTCACCTGTTTTCCCCCCATCTGGCATTGCTACTGCGAGGCAGCAGCCGGAGAATTCCTCTCCCTCCTACAGCCACAGACACAGCCCAGACCCAAAGTTATCCAGAAGATGAACATGGGCAGCCATGCAGCTGTCACTCTAGCAGCAGTCAGAGAACAGCTTCCAGTTTTGTCCTGCAGAATGGTGATCTGATCTGGGGCAGGCTGGAGCTGAAAGCTCGGGCAAGGTGCAGTGCACTCCACCTGCATCTCCCCATGCTCTCCGGCAGTGCAGACCAGACCCTAACGTCTCCTACTCCTTTTAAGGGCTGAAAGGGGAAAATATGCTGCTGGTTGTTCAGGAGAGCCCTAGGGGATAGGTAGGGACCTGCAGAGCTGCAGAAGCAGGCAGTGGATGAGTGGTGCAGCAATGGAATTGCTGACCAAGCTGCATGCAGTTGTGGCCCTCACCCCTGCAGAAGTGGAGAGGGCGCAGAGCAGGGCAGCAGAGGTGTTAAGCCCTCTGGACAGCTGTGAGCAACTAACCAGGCTGGGTGCAAAGCCCATGAAAAGGCAGTGTCAGGGAAACAATGGCAGTCTGCCTCTCCAGAACTCACAACCAGGCACTGAAGGTTGGCAGTAAGGAGATGAATCCGGGCAGAGACAGTTCCTGCTTTCACAGCCACTGTTCTGTCCTTGTAATAGTCACTGATAGCTGGTAGGTTTCAGACAGTAACAAGGCTGGGGACAGGAAAACTTCTAATGACAACAGCTGCCTCCAGACGAAACAATGATTGCAATGCCAAGGCTCTGTCCCTGCCCAATTACGCCTTGTTGCATCCTCCTACAGGTGTTTGCTCTTGCTCACTGCCCTCTGTCTTGGTTCTGGAGACCCCAAGTCAAAAGGATCTCCATGACTGACCAAGTATGATTGTTTTATACTTCTCATTACTATTTTCAGTGGTAGCATTAAATCTATCACCAATGGCTGTGGATCTGGATGTGGGGGAAGAACCATGTAACCAACCAGGCAGGTACAGTGGTCATGACACCGGCACAGGTCCCAGACTGACAGTGTGGTGACCGACTTCAGGGAGCTCACTTGACTTTGTGATGCAATCGGACCCTTCCCCCAGGTACTACAAATAAGTCATGTGAGTGCAGCAGCAGGACAGAGCAGCTTGATGCCTTGTGGGTGAGCACAGGTTTCACTTAATAGCAGAGCAATTCTCCAAGCAACATGAAGCTTTGCTGAAGCTGATCAGAAATCATAATCAGTCATTCTCTAGGGATATGACAGCAGAACTGAATGGACTTTGGGTGGAAAACCTTGCATTAGCCAGATCTCTGCCGCTGCGAGCGAAGAGACTCCTTGCATACTCAAGCTGTACAATTTGGGTGCACATATTCCATCAGCAGAGAGGTGGCCAGCAGGGACAGAGAGGTGATTGTCCCCCTCTACTCTGCTCTTGTGAGGCCCCATCTACAGTCCTGGTACAGGAGCTTCCAGTACAAGAAAGGCAGAGCTGTTGGAGATTGTCCAGAGGAGCCACAAAGATGAGCAGGGGGCTGCAGCACCTCCACTACAAAGACAGGCTGAGGGAGCTGGGCTCGTTCAGCATGGAGAAGAGAAGCTGCGGGGTGAGCTCAGTGCAGCCTGCAGTACCTAAAGGGAGCCTACAGACAGGAGGGGAGTCAGCTCTTGGAAAGGGGAGATGGCAGCAGGACAAGGGGAAATGGTTTGAAGCTGAGGGAGGGCAGATGGAGGTTGGATGTCAGGGGAAGTTGTGTGCTGTGAGAGTGGTGAGGTGCTGGAACAGCTGCCCAGAGAGGCTGTGATGCCCCGTCCATCCCTGGAGGTGTTGGAGGCCAGGTTGGATGGGGCCCTGGGCAGCCTGGGCTGCTGTGAAATGGGGAGGTTGGTGGCCCTGCACGTGGTTGGGGGTTGGAGCTTCATCATCCCTGAGGCCCCTTCCAGCCCTGGCCATTCTGTGATTCTGTGATATTTAGTGAAAGGTGATTCACGTCCCCACTGCTATGGGAAAAAAGACCAAAAAAAAGATCAGAGGGAGCCCACAGATAGCTGATGCATGCTGACCATTAGCCAGCTTGGACCAAACCCCACTGTAGCACCAAGAGTTGCCCTAGCACAAGAAGAAATCTAGGCATGATGCTGAGCAACTTGGAGGCAAATTCTGTTCCCCAAGAGCACCTAGGGAGATCAGGTCTGTTTTGAGAAGACTCCCCCAGAGATTCAGGCTCTCAGGAATTCAGGATCTCCACTCTGCACTTCTAGTGCTCCTGTGGCTTATCTGGGCTGATTTCTTTATGGAGCAGTCTCACATGAAAAGCTGAATGATACAAGAAGCGTGAGAAGCGTGATGTTGCTGTTTTCCACTAGCACCAGCTCTGGATGTGAAGGTGGTTTCTAGGGAGCTGAAGAGAAGGCCATCAGCTCCCACATTGGAGAAACTGTACCTTTGCTAAACTGCCTCCTTCAGAAAAGCTGTGTTTGTACAGCACCTCCTTCACCAGGATCTCTGTTATGTGTGTTTCTTACTGCTCCCACATTGCTCCCAGGAACACGAGAGAAATGTACAGTGCACAATGTGCAGGGCCTAGTTTGTGATATAGATTGAAAATGAATGTTTTGACTGCACTTTTTTAGTAGTTCTTCATGGAAACAGGCTTGTGCTGTTTTCCCTCAGCCCGGCACAAAATAATGCTGTTGAAATAAGATTGTGTATGCAATTTTATTATTTACTGTCACTGATTGAAATGTCTGATGCACGCAGAGCACACAGCATCAATTAATCACCTATTTGCGGGCTCAGGAAGGCCACCAGGAGGCTCAGATATCTTGACACTCCCCGTCATTCAAAATCCGGATATCTTGCCTGGTTTTCCTAGGATAATGCAGAAAAACAGAGTAAAGAACTAGGAAAAAAAAAAAAAAAAGTGTTCCCTGACTCACCCTTGGCCTCATCTGGCCCATGGAACGGAGCTGACCTTTCTGAAACTGCTTGCTCACTGTCCCATTGAAAAGAGATGCAGCTGCCTGCAGAGGTCTCTTCCCTGCGTATGGTGCAGGTCCCACCGTTGCTAGAGACAATTTCATCCCAGCTGGTTTGCAGTGTGAGCACTGAAGCTTTGCCCGAACCCTCTCCACCCCCGAGGATGAAGACCCCTCCCTCTCTGTTCACCTGTCCCCTGTGTCTCATCTGAACCCTTCTGGGACTCTGTGGCTGTTGCCCTGTGTTGTATCAGCAGCTGCAACATGACTCCATATGTTCCCTTTGTGGCCATAGGCTGCACTGGATCCCCTTGGCCTCCCACTCCAAGAGCCACCAGAATTTGGACGTAGCTCCTCCACAGCTCCTCACAGGTCCAGGCCTGTGGCCACTTGCAGACCCTCTGCAGTTTCCCCAGGTCCCAGCAGACTGATATCCCAATAGCATGCAGCAGCCCCGGTGCCCAGCACCCTGCAGCGGTGGCAGCATCTTCCTGTGCAATCTGGTTGTCCCTCCCTACTGCCTGTGTTCTTGGAAATGCAAGCACCTGTTGATCTGCATTCAGCCTGATCTTCGCTCAGCCCATCATTTCCCAGCCTGCACAGAATTACAGGGTGGTCCTGTCCCAAAGCAACCCTCTGCTTTTCTCTTCTGAACATCGTGATGCCCCTGTTGCCCTACTCCTCAGACTTATGATGGTTCCTTTGTGGACCAAAGGAACCATGATGCGTATAACTGGGCATCTGCACTGACAGAGCTCTCTTGGGAGGATTTACTGGTGCTATTTGCCTGTCCAGGCTATCCACCTAGTGCACCTTTCTAAACATCTGCATCCAAATCTTCCTTCTCCGGCTTGAGAAAAACATGGGCACGTTAGACTGGGTCCAGAGGAGGGCTACAACTAGGATCAGAGGGCTGGAGTACCCATCTTATGGAGATACTGGGAGAACTGGGCTTGTTCGGCCTGCAGTAGGCTCTGGAAGACTTTACAGTGGTCTTCCAGTACATAAAGGAGGCCTGTAGAGAGACTTCATCGGGTCACACTATTGTGACCAAGACAAGGGGTGAAGGTTTTAAACTATAAGAGGGGAGATTTAGGTTAGATGTTAGGAATTAATTTTTCACTCAGAGGGAGGTGAGGCACTGGAGCAGCTGCGCAGAGTAGCTGTGGATGCTCCATTCCCCGAGGTATTTAAAACCAGGGGCTTTGAGCAACCTTGTCTAGATGCAGACATCCCTGACGTAGGCAGGTGGTTAGAACTGGATGATCTTTAAGGTCCCTACCAACCCAAACCCCTCTATGGTTCTGTGATTATTCATTCACAGGCAGTACAGACTGGGGACCTTCTCTCACCCTCTGCAGAGCACCTGGTTTGTTGCCAGTTTTTTCTTATGTTGGAAGGTCGTCTGGCTGTGACTCTTGACCCCACATTTTGGGGGGTGTGCCACCCTATAGTGCATGATCCAGCAAGCTGCTCCGATGGATAAACATTGCTCTCTCCTGTGGGATCAGTACTCTGCCAACACAGTGAGTGAATACTAAGTTTGCAGCTGCACTGTCCCTAAACACAGTGCCAAGGAAGGGGCTGGCACCTGCAAAGGCTAGGGGCATTCCCATGCCTGTTCTTGGGCACTACCATCACGGGGAGGTGAAGCTGAGGGCTGCAGAGCCAGGTTCAGAGGATGCCAAAAGCCTTCCTCCACCTCGCAGTTAGGATCTTGTGTCCTTCCCGTGGGCTGTGGTTTTCCCACGGTGTTTGACAAGCACCTGCATTTAGACAGCTAAAATTGGACCCCTGGAGGCCAGTGCCCAGGTGTGAGCTTACATTTTCTGCACACAGAGCAAGCACTCATTGGCATAGGTGTTCCCATCGCTCCCACAGATGGGCAAGTGCAGCAGGGGGCAGGCCTGCAGCTCAGCCATCTCTCCACACTTCGGCTGGAAAGGAGAAACCGCAGTGAGTGCTTCAGTGCAGGCAGCTCCCACCCTCCTCCCACGGCGCTAGGGCAGCAGCAAGCGTGGCTGGAGCTGGCTGCACAGCAGCTCTGGGGATCCCAGTGCCCCTTAGGGCAGGCTCACAGAGCAGGGAGAGGCAGCGTGCCTCAAGGTGGGACTCGCTGCCCGGGGTTGGTACTGGGCTGAGACTGCTGAGACCTACAAAGCTGGGCAGTTTCTGGGAACAGCCTTTCCCCCAATCATGCCAGGCATTGAGGCAGCCCAATAGGATCTGAAGCCACTAACAAGAGCAAATGGAAATCTCTTACCCTTCTCAGGCCGCTCTCCTCTTCCAGCTCTTCCCCTGAAACAGAGCAGAGATCCAAGAGTTCAGCAGGGGGGAAATTAAGTGACAACTGCCTTTCCAGAGAGAGCTGGTGGCAGGAGCGTGAGGTAGTGACAGAGGGACAGAGGTGGGAATGCCTGTACCTGTCTCTGAGCCCCTTCCCATAGCCCTGTCTCCTGGACTCTGAACCAGGAGCTCTTCTGAGCATCAAATGCATCACTGGCACATCCCAAGAAATGTGGGATGTGTGTGCTCCTGTCCTTCTCTGCACCCCACCGTGCTGCTGCTGTGCTGCCTTGCCTCCCTCACCTCTTCTCCACATAACAGAGATCCTGTGTCTTTCTGCCCCCCTTTGCACTCTCAGTCCCTCCACACCTCCCAGCCCACCACCGCAGAGCAGACTTACCACTGGCAGAAACGAAAGCTACCAGCATCAGCGCCAGCACCAGCAGCTCCTTTGTGGGCATGGCTGGCATGGGTGCATGCATTCGTGCACCTCACTCCGCTCACAGCAGCCTTTATAGCAGAAGGCAGCAGCTAATCTTGGTGCTGGGAAAAGCAGCATTTTGAGCACTTTGGCCTGCGCTGGGAACAGACAGACTGTGCACCCAGAGGTGAATGACAGCCTGCCAACTCCAGGTGCAGGCAATAGAGGCTGCTATAAAATCCCTCTGGCCCACAGCGCAGGCTGAGTAATGCTGCTCTCCTCTCCAAACCAGCCAGCCTCCCACTGTGCACATTACCCTCAAGACGACCCTCCAGCTTCATAGCTGCCATTCCTCATTTTGTGGTGACAGTGACAGAACACAAGGGAACAGCACAGAGCTGCATCAGAAGAGGTCAGGTGGGGGTGAGATAAAGGCTGTGCCCTAGAGGGCAGCGCTGCTGGGGCTCAAGGAGAGTTTGGGCAATGCCCCCAGACACAGGGTTTGGGCTTTGGGTGGTCCTGCGTGAAGCCAGGAGTTGGACTCCATGATCCTTGCAGGTCTCTTACAAGCTTGGGATATTCTATGGTTCTGTGATTCCTACACCACGTGGATCTCCATTTTAGATTGGGATACTTCATGTGCAAAATGCAAAAGTTGGGGCTGATCTGGGAGGCTGTGCCACTGGGGGACTTTTCAGCAAGGACCTCCATTCCAGAAGACCTTGCTTTTTCACCTTTGAGAAAAATGTCCAACATCAGTCTTTCCATGTGAGCATCCTTGCTGCCCCTGAGAAAACAGTTTACCACATCCACCAACACTTTCCTTGATGGAATCAAGATCAAAGGCTGAAGGGTGAAGGATGGAAAAGGGAATCGCTGGACAGAAATCAGCATCATAGCTGAAAAGCAGTTTTGACTAGAACTCCTTTGGGACAGATATGGCAAGATTAAGTCTGGGCCAGAAGGGAGAGGGCGTCTCCTTCACCCTGGTAGTGGGTAGGAGGTACTCTTTGTGCAAAGGGCCAACACAAACCTACAGAAAACTGCCTGGAAGATCTGCAGACACGTGCAGCGTACACATGGGCACTTGCTGAAGAGACAGACACATCACATTCAGGACCTTTCTTCCCCACAGTTTTAGCTGAGTCTTAGCGTGGTTCTTGCCGGCCCTGGACAGCAGAGATGAGCAGGAGTATCTCAGCAAGCCCTCGTGGTCAGACAGGCATGGCTGAGCATGGACTGGCAGGAGCTTTGGGATTCCCCTTTCAGAACACACCTCTGCTCTGCTTAGATGGCTGTGCACACGGATTACATTCCCTGTTGACACAGTTCAGTAACATTTGACGCTTATTATTATTCTGCTTTGAAAATCCTACAGGTAAAGTAAATATTTAACTGCACTAGCAGTTGTTCCCAAGGAACAGGAGTGCTGGTGGGGTGGCTTAATCTGGTAAAGGGAGATCTGCCAGCAGCCTACAACTAAAGGAAGGAGACTTAACTAAGTTGGTGGAACCAAGGCCTTGGTTGCTGGAGATGGCACAGTGAAAGCCACAGGCACAAAGTCCTGAGCAGAGAAGTTCACACTGGGTGTCAGGAACCAGCCTTCCGCAGGAGGGTGAGCAACCTGACCAGCAGGAAGACGGGGAATCTCCATCCTCGATGGGTCATGCACAAAGCAATGGGCATTGTGACAAGCAGTGGAGACAGCCCTGACGTGTGCGAGGCTGCGCAGCAAGGCCCCAGGGCATCCTTCCGCCAGCACACATGGTCTCATGAAGCCAGAAGCTCTCACATTCTGGCACGTGATGATTAATCTCCTCACACCCCGGCTGGGCAACCTGTTCCCAACCAGCTCTCAACTAGAGGATGACTCAGTGTCCTACGAGCTGCTCCCACCCGGCAAAGCCCTGCAGAAGAGCTGTCAGGGGCCTTCATGGTCTTCTCCAAGGTGTTCAGTGGCAAAAAAACGGCTAGACTTTGACCCCAAGGCCTCTGTCAGCCTCCCTGCCTGTGTGCTGCGTTGCCTGTCCCGAGCTTGGCCTGGTTCCTGGAGTTGCACCATGAGCAGTGCAGGAACCATGCAGCTCAGATGTGCTGCTGTCTCTGCCTCAGCCTCCTCATGGCATAGGCGTCCACATCCCTTCTGTGCCAGCAGCAGCAGGTTCTGCAGCGCTGTTGGCCAACGTGAGGCTTGATCTTTCTGCACCCAGTTTCTCAGCAGTGTTCAGATGCTGTGATCTTCACAGAGTGAGCTAAATGACACCTAGCGGTGTGACAAAGGGGAAACCACCATCACAGGCTCTCAGAGGAAACCACCTCTCAGAGGCCTCTCACTCCTCTTTCAATTTTGCTTTCAAGTGCAGGCTTGAAGCCTCTGACAAAAGTCCCAGCAACCATCCCCTCGAGTTAGAGAGGGGAAGTCCTTCCTTAGGTGGCCAGGAGGCTCCCGTTGGTTGCACGGCCCAGCACTGGCTGCACAGCTCCATCTACAGAGACAATCATGCATTTAAGCCTCCTCCTCCACGTTGCAGGTATTTCGGTGCAATCCCCTCCTGCTGTCCCCAGCTTTGTCGCAGGCATCAGTCGTGGTCCTGTGACTCATATCACACTTGCACTTCCTGGGGGACCACAATGCAGCTTGCAGACCTTCCATCTTGTGGGGAATAGGTGGCTGAGCCATACTGCATCATGTCAGTCTTGCTCTACTTCTGCACAGTGGCCTTATCGGCAGCATGGCCTTGATGCTGTCACCAGTGTTGTCACCGCTCTGCCCAGCACCTGCAGTTCCTTTGTTATCTGTTGCCTTCATACCTGCTCTCACGTTCTGCTCTGCCTCACTCGCAGGATTTTAAATCCTGTCCTGCTGCTCCCCCTGGTGCTCTTGCAAATTTACCCTCAGAAAATGCTGGGGACCCACCAGGATTGAGGGCTGCCCTGTTCCTGCAACCCATGAGGGGTACAGAGCACATGCCCCCATCACACCAGAAAGAAAGTTAGAAAGGAAAAAAAGAGCACTTCATCTTCACCTTCACAGTCACCTTCATCTTTAGGATTCCCACTGGAGCTGGCTACGCACTGGACCTCAGAGGCACAGGAGCCGGGAAGAGGCAGGCTGGGGACAGCATCCATTGCTGAACCTTTTCCTCTGCTTTGACTGCTCACCAGAATCACCACAGCTGGTCAGAAGTGGCTGTGGCTCACACCCAAGCTGCTCTTGGTCCCGCTTCCCTGGGATACCTCTGTGGCAAGGAACAACTGGCCAAGGAGGTCAGATTTGCCCAGGGGATTTGCAGCTTTCCTGCGGTTCCTCAGCAGCTCAGAGGTGATGCTGGCCTTCCTTTTCCCATGGTCCCACAAGAGTGATGTATGTCCAAATCCTTGGGTATGTACTCACAAACACCCAGGGGCAGCCACCTCACATGGCATCAGACAGAAGAGCATTGTCATCACAGTGAAAGCCGTTCTGTTTCTCCAGTCTTTCCTGCAGCTTTTGGTTTCTGTTCCTCTTAAAAGGTGAAGAGTGAACTTTGTTGTTTGCACTCAGTTGTGCCGAGACAGCAACATTCTCTGTTGATTCCTGTCTTTTTTTTTATTACTGTCTTTGCACTACAGACATCTACATCCATACTGATGGATCAGAGCAGTACTGTAAGCACTGCAAACAGCTTATTTTTGAGGATCCGGATGCTAATGCAAGATTTCTCCTTTGTGAAAAATGCGTGGCAAAATGAAGTCAATAGTAGCACCAAACCACATCCCATTTTATGCTCCAGAAAATAAGCCACTCAATGGCGTGGTCAGGCCCTGGCACCTCTGGACAATGCTCTCTGCTCTCAGCCACAGGAGCTAATGTAGTGGATAAACAAGAAATACACTAGTGAAAATGACAAGTATTCTTGTAATGAATTTATATTCGGACTGCTGTAACATGCAATTGGAGCTGTATGCTATAGGAAGTACTGCAGCAGCAGCCATCCAAAACAGAAGATAAGCTTGACAAGGAGCTGTGCAACACCTACCCAACCCGGGCTGGATTTGCAGCCAGGCTTTCACGAGCCCTGTTAAATGTATTTTGGTTGCACCAGACTCAGTCATGGTGCCTGATTCTACAAACATCCCGGATAAAGGAACTATCCAGGTTAATAATGCAGTAGACTGCTATTAATGAATGATGAGTGATAAGACAGGTCTTGGTTTGACTCTTTTGGGCTTCCCGCAAAGGACAGCTGGATGTTGCTTTTCACACCTCTGCATCTTGTCCCTTTGCCGTCTGCCTGCCTCGCCTGATGCCTGTCCCACAGCTCAGCTCAACTCTTCCCAGCCTCCTCCCAGCCCTGCAGCAGAGCAGCTCTGCAGCCCACACAGCTGCAGCAGTGAGGAGTGGGGTCGCAGCACCAGGGCTCCATGCTGCTGTCCTAGAGGTGCACCCAGACATGCTCTGCTCTGCCCTGCCCTGAGGAAACATGGAAGCACACAGGAAGGTGCCTGTGTTTTAAACCCAACCATCAACTTGACCTACTGAATCCCATCACTGAACTGCCTGCAATCGCCCTCTCTGGCGCCTGTCCTCCTCCTCCTCCTCGTAATTTGCTGCCTGACTGCAAACCTCCTTCAGTCAACTTTCACTCAGCGCCTTCGTAGTGGCTTGCTTCAGCACTCAGTTTGGATATTTATGATGCCATCCAACTGCCAATTTTGATTAAAATCAAACTTAGAAGTCATTAGGCACAGTGGACTTGCAGATGCGCTCATGTGCAGCATGACACTGTAGCTACACAGCAGTTATTTGTAAAGGGAAATAAGGCTAAAAATTACCTTGAGCACCATCACTCCAGTGAAGCTGGGGAGCCGGAAGCTGATTTGGTGATGTGGCAAAGTGAGAGCTCTGAGGACTTTTATTACGCTGTGCTGAGTAGAGACAGCCACAGTCAGCAGCTGGAGAGGGCAGAAGTGTAGGAGCACCTAAGGGTGTGTATGCATGCACACATTTTTCCCATAAATAATGCATTTCTGTTTCCTTATTCTCTGTTTTCTAGAACATCTTATCTCTGTGCTAAAAAAGAAGGTGTGCCATTACGTACTTACCTGTATATACTCCTATTTACTCATGTGCTCACGAGGACACACCTGAATTATGCATAATAGAATTGATTCAGGCTGTTACAGAGTACTTTCACATCTTTAACCTTTGCCTTGCTTCCAAAGCCATGTTCAGCAAGAGCAAGACAGTTGTCTTGAGGAAAAGATAGCAGTGATATAGGCTACTGCAGCACAAATATGTGGAATTACATATTAGACACTTCCCAACTTTGTGACGTCAGTTCCCAGCAGCATGCTGTGACTTCTTTTCCTTTGCTTGCTAAACTTAAGGCATGACGTATTTAAAGCATTATGGGAAATCAAACCAACTCTGCCTTGAATCACAGTTGAGGTCATTGCACCTCAGGAAGATTCCCTGCAAGTACCCGTGTCAAATAGGAAAGAAACAAAAGACACATTTTACTAGCAGGCATCTGGTATCTCCTGATAGCAGTGGAGTGTGGAAACTCTAGACTGACCTGCAAGTGCTGAAAAATGGTTTCTCTGCTCATTTATGTTGCCAGAGGTGCCTTCTGCTGATCAATCCATGAGAGATGTCCAGAGGGTCTGCAGGCTTTGAAAGCCTGGCTTGCTCACTTGAGAAGGTGCTTAGTTGAATGATGGCTGAGAACATCAGCAGTGACAGCACTAGTGTCTTAGGCAGCTGCCTCATCATCTTGGTGCTGACAACACCAGGTTCAACCAAACCATATGGTAATTATCGGGCTGGCTTCCAGAAGGTATCAGAAAGAAATGTGTAAGAAAAGAGAAAATAGAGGAGGCAGGAGCCTGTGGTCATGCACCTCAACTGTTTCTCCTTGAGCCTCTTGCGGCACAAGTGCAGAGGCACTTTCAAGCAGTGACTGGGAGCCACTCGGGAAGATCAAGGAGATAGAATCACAGAATCACAGAATGGCCAGAGCTGGAAGGACCTCAAGGATCACAAATCTCCAACCCCCCTGTGCCATGCAGGGCCACCAACCTCCCCATTTCACAGCAGCCCAGGCTGCCCAGGGCCCCATCCAACCTGGCCTCCAACACCTCCAGGGATGGACGGGGCATCACAGCCTCTCTGGGCAGCTGTTCCAGCCCCTCACCACTCTCACAGCACACAACTTCCCCTGACATCCAACCTCCATCTGCCCTCCCTCAACTTCAAACCATTTCCCCTTGTCCTGCTGTCATCTCCCCTTTCCAAGAGCTGACTCCCCTCCTGTCTGTAGGCTCCCTTTAGGTCCTGAAGGCTGCCATGAGGTCACCCTGCAGCCTTCTCTTCTCCATGCTGAACGAGCCCAGCTCCCTCAGCCTGTCTTCAGCTCGAGCCCCCTGCTCATCTCTGTGGCTCCTCTGGACCCTCTCCAACAGCTCCCTGTCTTTCTTGTATTGGGGGCTCCGGACCTGGATGCAGTGCTGCAGATGGGGCCTCACAAGAGCAGAGTAGAGGGGACGATCACCTCCCTGTCCCTGCTGGCCGCTCCTCTTCTGATGGAGCCCAGGTACCATTTGCCTTCCGAGCCACAAGGGCACACCGCTGGCTTACATTCTGTGTTTCATCCATCAAGACCCCCAGGTCCTTCTCTGCAGGGCTGCTCTCAAGCACCGCTCCTTCCAGTCTGTATGGATGCCTGGGATTCCTCTGGTGCAAAACTCTGCCCTTTGCTGTGTTGAACCTCATCAGGTTACCTGTTCCCACTTTTCCAGGCTCTCGAGGTCCCTCTGAATGGCCTCCCTTCCTTCAGCCGTGTCGACCGCACCACTCAGCTTGGTGTCGTCAGCAAATTGCTGAGGGTGCACTCGATTCCGCCATCACTGTCATTGATAAAGATGTTACAGAGCACCGGTCCCAAGACAGAGCCCTGGGGGATGCCACTCATTACTGGCCTCCACCTGGACACAGAACCATGGATCACCACCCTCTGTCTGCGGCCTTTCAACCAGTTTCTTATCCATCAAGTGATCCAGCCATCCAATCCACATCCCTCCAATTTGGAGATAAGGATGTGGAGGGGGACCATGTCAAAGGCCTGATGCTGAGATCTGATCTCCTTGTTGTGCCAGATAAACATAACTCCTCTGTCCCAAGCAAGTTGGACTGTACTTATTCCAGACTGCTCCTGGAGATGGCACACCACTTCATGTTTTATAGACGGGTGCAGCCTCCACAATGACTCACTGAGGCAGCAGGCATTCTCTTCCTATTTTGCTTCTGTCAGCACAGCATCACTGAGATCACGTCCTGCTGCTTTTCATAGAATCACTGAATCACAGAGGTTGGAAAAGACCGCTGCGATCAGCCAGTCCAACTCCAGCTCACCTCATCTCGCCCACTGTTTATGTCCCTCAGTGCCGCATCTCCGAGGGGCTTGAGAGCAGCGTGGTGACCGCACCACATCCGCGGTCAGCCCGCGCCAACGCTTCGCCGCTCCCGGCATCCAACCTGAACGCCCCCGGTGCAACCTGAGCCCTCTCCCCCTAGACCCACCGCTGTTACCCGGGAGAAGACACGCGGGGCCGGGGGCAGCGGGACCACGGAGCGGATCGGCTCCCGCCGGCCCAACACCGCCCCCCGCGGGTCGCGGGGATGCGCGGAGGCAGAGACTGCGGGCGGGGCGGGGGGCCCAGGGCCGCCCCCAACGGGCGGAGCCACCGCCGCACCCGCCCCGACTCCATCCCGTCCCCGGCGGCGGCGCGGGGCGCGCGGCGGTCCCCGTCAGCGCGGCGGCATGAAGGAGTCGGCGCTGCCCGGCACCTCGCTGCAGCGGGCCTGCCGCCTCCTCGTAGCCTTCTGCGCGCTGCACCTCTCGGCCACGCTGCTCTACTACCTGGCGGGCAGCTCCCTGGCGCCGCCGCGCAGTCCCGAGCCGCCGCCGCGCCGCCCGCCGCCCGCCAACCTCTCGCTGCCGCCCTCCCGTCCGCCGCAGCTCGCCGCCCGGCTCCGGCCCGTCTCGGCGCAGTCCGACACCCGCCCGGACTCGGCGGCGCCGGGGCCGTGCCCCGACCCGTCCCCGCTGCTCGGTGAGTGCCGCCCCCCGCCCCTCCGCGGGCCGTGACAGCGTAGCCCCGGAGCCTCTCGACGACGGGGCCCCGACGGCTCGGGAGCGCGCCGGGCGGGCGGACGGGTGGGGGCTGCCCGGGGCGCGGCGCGGCTTCCTGCGCCCGACCCCCTCCGAGTACTGCGCCGCGGCTGCGTCGAGCATCCTCCGCTTTCCCCGAGGCTCCGCCGCGAGCAGCGCTCGCTTCTCGGAGGGAGCGGAGGGGCTGCGCGCGGGGCGGGGTCCGAGCGGCGCTCCCCGCACAGTGGGACCCGCGGTGCGGCGTTCCGATACGTGGCGTCCCGCCGGTTGTGCCTCTGCACATGGAGGGTGGGCAGCACCGCGCCCCGCCGCGCGCTTATGGGATCGCAGCGGGTAGAAAAGACTTTCGAGAAGTTCCCTGTGGTTTTCTGTTAGCGAAACCGTCGCCGAAATTCGGAGTTTCACTCGGTGCTCGCTGGTCA